GACTTTTCCTCAGACCCCATTATAATGTGTCATAAAAGTGCAGACAAATATAACATTGCGGGATCCCCCCCCCCCAGCAAGTTCATATAGATATCGGACTTCTTCTTCCCTATTGAGTCTAGTGAGATATCCTACACTGGCTTGAGCTGGCAATTTTGGAGTCATCACAAGTCCAGCTGACAGGTATGTCTATGAGCATATTGTTATTTGTTTTTGCTCTGCTCTAGAGGAACAGCAATAGACATATGCATTAATTCCTAAAAGCAGTAAAATTCATAGCAAATAGTTTAAATAATAGTATAAAAATAGTTTACTTTTCAGTTTTTAACTAATCTAATAAGATCAAATAACTTCTTATGGCAAAGTGGCTTGGTTAGGGTTTCTGTTGCTGTAACAAAACAAAGCAAGTTAGGGAAAAAAGAGTTTATTTGGTGTCGAGTAATGGACTTCCACATTGTAGTCCATCACTGAAGGAAGCCAGAACAGAAAGTCAAGCAGGGCAGGAACCTGGAGGCATGGGCTGACACAGAGGCCATGGAGGGGTGCTGCTTACTGGCTTGCTCCTCATGGCTTGCTCAGCCTGCTTTCTTATAGAACCCAGGACCACAAGCCTAGGGATGGCACCATCCATAATGAGATGGACCCTTCTCCCCCACCAATCACTAATTAAGAAAATGATCTACAAACATGCCTGCAGCAAGTCTTACGGAGGGCATTTTCCTAACTGAGGCTCCCCCCTCTCAGATGACTTTAGCTTGTGTCAAGTTGACATAAAACTACCCAGCATAGAAAGCAATCTCAGGTCAGCAAAGCACAGCATAAAATATTGATGTTTTATCAGGTTCAACAATTATTTCTTTTGAGATCCAGCAGCTTCATATTCTTACCCCCTTAGGATCCAGAATGTGAGTTTCACACTCTTTACAATGCACTCCAGTAACAGAGCAGGCACTTGTGCCTCAAAGCAAACCTCATTCACAAAAATTAATAATAAAAAATCTATTCAATAGAAGAGCCTATAAATGAGAAAGAAAACCTTATTTTTCTGTCTGCCTCAATTTTGAATCTGAGATCATGTATATCTTATAATTGCATGTTTTGTGGTACTTTTACAAACACAGGCCTATTGCAGCTATATACTGTAAATGTAATTCTGAAAGGTTTATTAAATAAGAAACACAAAGCCAAATGCAGAGTTAAAAGCCCAAGAGGTCAGAGCAGTAGCTAAGAGCTAAAAACCCTTTCTTACCCCTCACTGCCACTGCTGTCCTTCCCCTGAGAAAGAGATCTATTTCCTGTGTGTCTGTCTTTTTATTGACTTTCTGTTCTGCCTTCTCATTGGTTATAAACCCAACCACATGACCTCCTCGTCACTGCCTGTCTATACAGACCTCCAGGTCTTCTATGGTTGGTATTGAGATCAATGGTGTGTGTCTCCATGCTGGCTGTATTCTTGAACACACAGAGGTCTGCCTGTCATGTGATCGGGACTAAGGGCGTGTGCTATCACTGCCAGACTTCTGCTAAATGGCTTGCTATTAGCTCTGACCCCCAGGCACTTTTATTTATTAACATACAAATAAAATCACATTTCAGCACAAATAAAATATCACCCTAATATACTCGTCAGGCCTTTTAAGTTGTTCCCAGTCCCAGTAAAATTAAAATGCCTTACATAACTGCCACTAACATAAGGCAGAAATCTATCAAGCAAGTTGCAAAGATTCTAAAAACGAAGACTATGCTGCCTGCTAGGTTACTTTCATTCTACTTTTTTGTTGTTGTTTGTTTGAGGCGGGATCTCACGTTATATCTCTGGCCAGCCTTGAACTCTCTAGGTAGACCAGGCTGGACTAGAACTCACATAGGAGAGATCTATCTACTTCTGCCTGTGTGGTGCTGGGATTAAGGGTGTGCATCACCATGCCCTGCTCTTTTTCCACAGTTTGAAAGAAATGGGACTCTATAAGAAGCTCAGCTTCAACCATCACTCACTACCAAGCACCAACAACGGTAAGCCCCTCAAGCAATGGCTTTGCTTACTACCAAACCTGACTACGTGGTCCCAGTTTTGCAGAGAAACTTGTTCATAAGTTATGCTTTTGGAAGCCTGGAGAAATTATTATATTTAGGAAGACATTATTAGTAATATCAGTTTGGGTTTTATATTAAGTAGGTAGGACTTAATTGCTTACATTGTTAGTTATGTTTTATAACATTTTGATTTCCAAAGACTGAGCAAAATCATATAGTCCCAGTGGATCACAACTTCAAAAATTCATCCCAACATCTGTCTAAACTCTCTTCCTCTGGATCAAGTTGAAGAGAACCCATTTTTCTAGTTTAAAATCTGAACACTGGCCTTAGCCCTCAGGAAAGATGAAAGAATTTGCTAGCTAATATGAAACCTAATGAAGATGGGTTTCAACAAAGCCAAATTTTGCTGTACATATATTTTAGGGTTTGCATTCTTTGAGCAGGCATTAAAAATCTATGTAAGCTCCAATGGATAGAGGTTAGATAATCAAGAGAAGGGATCACCTTTCAATATTTACCAGAAACAGAAGAACTGCAAGGTCTTCTACTGACTATTGGTTAAGTGTCCCATTTTACCAATCCCCTCCCCATAAACTTAATCCCTGAGCTCTTGCTATCTTTAAGGGGTACTCCTTGATTATAGCAATCTCGGAGAGCTCTGTCAGAACTCAAAGTTCACTGATCTCCTGACAAGTGCTTCTCTTGAGTGCTTAGTTTTAGAGAATTTCCTTTTGGCCTCCTCAGTGTCATCCCCAACACTCCAGGCTGCTCAAACCTGTTAGCCAAAGACAACCATTTCCTCCTGCAATCCTCACTGGAAATACGGCAGCATCCACAGCCAACCCTAGACAAAGTCGTTCCAGAAGAACCCAGCCTCTATTTGCTCTCTATCCCTGCAGCCCCTCCTCTCCTCCCCCTCCTCTCTCCTCCCCCTCCCTCTCCTCTTTCTTCTTTCGACATCACAAACCAATTCATTCCTTTGGTGAGACATTCCTTTATTTAGTATATCAAAGCATGTTGGCATGGGCTAGGAGATAGAAATGCACATATAAATACCTCCTAACACGAAGTATTCTGTGGTTTAGATGTTTTCCTCAACAATGTTCGTTTGGTTTTTCCACTACATAACAATGGCATCCATCACCTCGCGTGTCTAAAGGACGTTTCACCCTAAGTTTTGAGAGAAAGTTTGAATGCTAATTGAGGACAAGTTCAAGAAGCAAAGGCTCTCTATTCTGCCCTTGAACTTAAAATATATACATTGCAAGTTATAACGACCTCTGATCTCATTCTTCATCCTCAGAGGAACAAATGCTTTCAGGATCCAAGGAAGCCACTTTGAAAAGGCAGTTGCCTGTCACCTAGGAGACATTTCTCAACACTCTCTGCTGCACTGGCAACTATAAGGGAATGTGGTCAGCGTTTGGAACGAGAGGCTCAAGTCGGATTGCCATATTCATAAAGACACCGAATCTAACTGGAGTTCTCACGCTTTCCGAAGCCAAATCTAACATGGGTTGAGTGTCTGTTGACACAGAACCAAGTGGGGGTGAAGGGATGGGGGAGATAAAAGCCCGGATTTGATCTCATGATGTTGACTTGTTCGCACTTGCATTGGATGTGCCCATTGGCGCAAGCCCTAGGAACAGAGACCAAGCCTTAAATCCTTGCTGCCCTTCTCCGGAACCCCGCGGCTTCAGCTCGCTCCAGCACTTCCCCCTCCCATCTCTCTTCCCGGCTGGGCGCCCGTTTGTGGGTCCCAGTGGGACTCTCACAACCCCTCCGCAGAGAAGACCCTCAGGTGCCTTATCACCTTCCAGCTCCTAGCCGGTTCTTGGCACCCAGAACGGGGTGCCCTTCACGGCCTTGATTGGAGTGGGAATTCTAGTTACCTAGAAAGTTGATGCCGCACCCCAGCAGTGGCCCTCCGCTCATCTCCCCCCCCCCCCCGCCCGTGGCCTGTTGCTCCACGGATCCGCCCTTTTCTTGTGTGCCACAGGACCATCAAAAGTGAGGCCCGATGCTACCCAGTGACTGTCGGGTGATCCCGGAATGGCAAGGTCACCCCGCTACAGGCAGGAGGAGAAAGTGCTTGGCTCTCAGGAGACTGAGTCTGCGGTGTGAAAACTGGGTGGATTCTCTGGACACTCAGCCCAGGCCGCAGCGCCTAGGTGGAGGAAGTCTCACGCACCCAGCACCCATTCCCCTGCACAAGGTGGCGGGGACTGTGACCGTCCGGGTCGGGGATCCCTGTAGTTACCCCATCCTCCCACCACCGGGATGTGGCCCGCTACCGCAGGACTTCTATGCAGGGCTGTGAGTTTGTCTGGCAGCGTCTACTGAGCAGCTAATAGTATAACAACCCGGCTTTGATAAATCTGAACTAATTACCCCTCTTAATTAAAGTCTTTAGCAGTTGTTTCACTGTTTTGGCAAGGCAACAGGAGAGACTTGCGGTTAGAAAACACCAGAGCTCCAGCGCACAGCGGAGCTGCTGATTAACACTTAAAGCCTTTCAAGGACCTGGCACCCGCCACACTTTGGTTTTCATCCATGTCTCCTCCTTGAATGGAAGTATACTCGGCTATAAACACGTGCACACATCTAAAAACACGGAGCCTCTCTTTGCCAGCTGTGTACAAGTCAGTGTGTGTCTTCAGAATGATGGAAATACACACATCGCGGCCTGGAGGTACAAGGTCCCCCCACCTTTTGGTACCACAAATCTACCAGAAGATCCATGCCAAAGTCGTGTTTCTGTTAGAGACACATCTTCGGTCTCAGAGTTTAACCATATTTCATAACCTTGCCCAAAGCATAGGGACAGACTATTTGCATATGGTAAATATTCAGATCAAATTAGTAGGCAAAATTAATGCAAGAAAAAAAAAAAAGGATGAGTGTGGGGTGAGAAAGTCAGAGCCAGGGATCTTTAGTTGAATAATACAAAGTCTTGAAGTTTGTTGATTAAATAAGCATATTCCAAGTATTTATTTCCAACAGTCAATGAATCAACTTGTTCGTGCAAGAATCAAAACAAAAATTCAAATTCATTCATTATGGACCACTCTTATCTAATGTGTATGTGTGTATATGTATGTGCTCACAAACGTTGAACGTGCCTTCACGGGCACACACATCTGTGTGTATATAGAACATACACACCGTGTTTTGTTGCTTCAGGGAAGGAGGAAATTATAAACAATCAGCAGGCATTTTGAGACAGCAGAATCGACACAATGGAAATATATACAATAATAAAATTAAAATGGTGCAGCATTCCCGAGTAGAATAATACAGATCTCAATAAATACAGCAGATATGTGTTTAAAAACAAAACAAAACAAACACCATCTCTCCACCCGAGATGAAGTCTTTCAACTTATAAAAAAAATTGAAATAAGCCCCTCCAAATGTATCATAATTGTTAGTGCCAATATAGAATATAATACACAAAACCATTTAGCAGGTGCATGCAAGAGGCGAAAGGCCAAGGGATGTAGAGGCTTCTGGTCCGCTCAGAAGTGAGGGGCCCAACGGGCCCCAGTTTTTGCAGGAGAGCCTAGACCAAGAGGTCCACCCTGGTCTGCCGACCTCCGCAGTGGGGGCCCTCCCGCTGGGGTGGTGGGGGAACTTTGGCCTCCGTCACTGGTGGCCTTGGTGCAGCCCGGGTTGCAGAGGCCCTGAAGGCGGCAACGTGGGCTGCATTGGCGGCAGAGGTGCAGGCGGCGGCGGCGGCTGCAGCTGAGGCAGCGGCGGCGGATCGCTGCCTGGCTCCCCAGTCGGAGTGCGGGTCAGCCCCAGGGTGCTGTCGTGCAGCTTGCGAACGTGCTTCTTGAGGTCAAAGTTCCTGCAGAAGCCCTTGCCGCACGTGGGGCAGGTGAAGGGTTTCTTGTCGTTGTGAGTGTGCATGTGGAAGGTGAGGTTGTACACCTGGTGGAAAGCCTTGTTGCAGATATTGCACTTGAACTGCTTCTCCCCGCTGTGGGTCAGCTTGTGGTTTTTGTAGTTCCCTGAAACAGAAAAAAAGAGCCGGGATGAGGTGCTGACCCGCGCTGGAGAAGCAGAAGGTATGGAGGCCGGCTGAAGAGCCACCACAGCCCCGACCCAGGGTGCAGGGCACTGGCCCTCCTAAGTTTCTTTTTAAGCACACTGAGTTGATTTCTTCTACATATCAATACACATTAATTTTTCTAGTTATACGAAACGAAAACTGGAGGTTACAGAGAAGTACCCTTTGATGTATCAAACGTGCCTTTTCTAACCCTGGTCGGACCCGAGGGTAGGGAGTCAGAACGCAGCCTTCCTCAGGGACGCAGTTACACTTAACGGGTCATTTTCTAAAATATCCCGAGAACACTCAGTACGGCTCTCCCAAGACCCACTGTGAGAAGACATCTGCTGGGCTCAATACCTTTTTGATGAAATCCTTTGCCACAGAATTCACACACGAATGGTTTGTAGCCCGCGTGGATCCGGGTATGTGTGTTTAACGTGGAACTTCTATTAAATGCTTTCCCGCACTGGTTGCATTTGTGAGGTTTTTCCTAAGCAGCAGAGAGAAAGGGGAGAATAGAGAATGTAATTTAAGGTACTTTGTTATTATGATGTGGAGTCCTACCAGCACAATTCACTAACGCCCTGAAGCTTCTAAACAGAACAAAGGCGACAATACAAGACATCTCCTCAGTGTGACCAGCACAGCTCGACAGATCCTAGGCTAAATAGTGAGGCTCTATCGACCTTTTTTGCGGGGAGGGGGGGCGGGAGGGGCAAACATTTCCGAAGACTCCTGGTAAATTGTGATAGAGAACATACCTGCGTGTGAATGATCTTATGCCTGCAAAGAGTGCTCGCTTGCCGGAAACCTTTCCCACACACTTTGCAAACGAAGGGTCTTGCTCCTGTGTGCACCGGCATGTGACGGGTTAAGTTATAGTGCGCATTGAAGACCTTAAGATTAAACACATAGAACACAGGTTAGCTGGACAAGAGATCTGAATTCGAAGTGGACAGAGGGAGGAAGGGGGGGCAAGTTTTTACCCCTATTCTCCAAATATTAAAACGGAAGCGAGGGAGGGAGAAAGGAAGGAAAGAAAGGAAGGAAGGAAGGAAAGGAAGGAAGGAAGGAAGGAAGGAAGGAAGGAAGGAAGGAAGGAAGGAA